GTCTGAGGTCTTGGCAGCAATTGGTGAGTCGGACGGCTTGAACGATAGGAACGCTTAGTAATGACAGCCAGAGTAGGGATGAGATGAGAACCATAGCCGCTATCTTCAAGTCGTTTGTGACCACAATTTGTTGCGACAAAAGGCCGAAGACGGCGACCACCGCTCGACAGCCAAAGTTGACGATAAGTAGCGACACTCCCAGCGCCTGCTCTGAGTTGAGGTATTCAACAAACTTTTGCGATTCACCCGCTCTTTTGCTGAACTCCTAATCCAATCGATGAATAATTCAGTGATTATTAGTTGGAAAGGGATTCAGAAAATGAGTGATAGTTTACTTGAAAATCAATCCTTTTCTCTCTGACAGCGGAAACTAAATTCTTAATGTACTGTATATTGAGCTGACAGTGCAGTGAATAACTGGTGACTATAGCGGCACATATGATGTCGTTCCACGTGAGCGACAGTATGGTGAGGCCCGTCATTATTTTGACCACTAGTTCATTGCCGGTGGCCATCCACGTGAAGCAGATCTCCTGGAACACAGTGATGTGAACGGTGTGGCCGATCACCGACACCCCCACCCATGTGACACATAGCCAGAGGAATGTCCGCAAGTTGTTCACCAACTTCTTCTGGGCGATGAACCAGCCGTTGATTCGAGTCGACTGAAGGAAAGCCCTCTCCAGAAGGTTCTGAAGGATCTCACACTCAGGCGTTCGCATCAAATGAAAGACAAAGATATACGCAAACAGATGCAACAAATCGGGGATTAAGTATAGACTGATAAAGTTGCCTGAACACTTTACGGAACTCTCGTTTCCATCAGATTCTGGATAACTATAGGTAGAGCTCAGCAAATGAGTCGTGGATTTGTTATCGTAATTAAAAGTGTTGTATAGAAGTGGTAAAGGGGTCGACCACTTATTATCCGATTTAATGATCAACTGGTCGTTGGTTTGGTTCCGATAGGGTGGGTAACCGTCTTGTCTGAAACAGGAGGCGTATTGCAGGACATACCCGACCAGAATAAACGTGATGACCAGCGCCGTGTAGATCCAGTTGAATGCCTTGGCGTGAAGAGTCACTTCCGGTGCGATGGGGTATATGATAGGCCTCCAGCCCAAGAGGGCCAACATCTGGAAGTAGGGCTTCAATATCTTTCGTTTGCATAAGTATAGCGCCACAGAAGTGGACTCTTGGAGGTCGGCTTCCGACACATTTTGGTAGTTTTCGTCCAGGTGCTCAAACGTGTCAAATATCTCCCGGTGCGACGTCTCAAACTGCACGGAGATGTCCGTATGGGGGTCAGTGGTCGACATCGTGTCTATCAATTCATTATTTGACTGATTGGATGACAAACTCGACTGTTTGTGTGAACTTAAAAACATAATAATTGTTAACATAAGCAAACATTAAGTTTATTATTTGATAAGAATGTAAAGTTTGGAAATTGTTTTAAACTTTTCCCTCGAAATAAAGTTCACACTTTTTTAATTTAACTTTATTATACATTTATTTTGAATACAAACTTAATCGACATAATATTATATAAGACTATTATGGTAAATGCAATTAAATGCGATCAGAAATATTTATTTTTTGACAAATGCCTGACTTGTGATAACGAGTTATTATTACGAAAGTCTTAAAAAGGAAAGTCTTATCACCCAGCTGATAAACTTTGAATTGAATCAGTCGATGTGTTTAAAATAACTAAATTATTAAATGCGTTATAATTCAAAGACTTATAAAAATGAAATAAAAAACTAAATAAATATTTGTGAAAACAATATTAGCAAATTGTTTATACAATGCAATCAAAGTTGTGTTTAATTAAAAAGATTGCTCCTCTTTTAATTGAATATAGAAATAATATATTAATTACTGTATATTTGATTGCCTCCACCCTATTGTCTGACAACAGAATTGAAGGTTAAAAGTATTGAAATTATCTCAAAAATGAAACAAAATGTGTAGAAATCATTCACCCAATCCTACTCTAAGTTGTAAGCATTCATTTCTATAACGATTTTAAGTATTAATAACCCATTACTTCATACTGTATTCATGTAAATCTATTCAATTTACTGATTCACATCAATTTAATTTAGATCTATTTTGTATGATTTTTTATAAAAAAAACTACAATTAAATGTTTTAATGGACACATAAAACTTGAACATACATTACATGATTTTGTATTTGAATAACGTAACAAGTACAGTAGTAAGTTCATTTATTTAATTTTATCATAACTTTTAATGGACTTTCGTTGAATAAATAAAATAAAATAATTTTTTAAATATATAAATTATAAAATTAGTTTTGGTAGCATAAGTTCTATCACCCTCTATTTAATAAATAATATAATTATGTTTTATAATAAAATTTTATTTAATGAAAATATCAGTTATTGTTATAATCTGTAAGAACAAATATTAATAATAAATAATACAACTACTGTAAATTGCCAAAATAAGTGCAATTTACTAAAAAATTCATACTAAACAAAATGTAATATTTATGAAATATTTTACGAGTAAAACAATTTTGGCCTATCATTCACGGAATAGTGAACATTAAAAAAGCAAAATTAAAAATACTTTAATAAATAAAAATTCTCATAATGTGTTTAAATGAAGATTATGATGATTGCGAATATATATAAAAAGCATAGTGTTGTACAATTAGGTAAAAACAGGTAATTATTATAAGACTTGAACTGAGATAAGGGTTAATGATTGTCTACTTTCTGCCAAATAGTCCGACATATCTTATTCCAAAGGGAAGGCCTTCTGGCGGCGGCTTTGGCATAGGATTCGGTGATCTCTTGGGCGATGGGTATTGATTCGGGTTTGAGAGCTGTTATGCGATTAATGGCACCACTCCTGAGCGACAAATTCCTGAACGAAAACCTCTGAAACACGTTTGTCGTCGAGTCTTCAGACGTGGTCGTCGGATCATTTAAGAGATTAAATCTCTTGCCTCGCGGCAGATGTAATGAATCGTATTTGCGTTCAAAAGGTCGCGGCGATGGCTTCAGATGAGGGGTTTGTTTGATGCCATCCATGAGCTTCTCGTGAAGAGTGAGTGGCCTCTGAGGTAATGGACTTAAGACACGGTCGGCGACAGGTTTCAGAGGAGGTCGCGATCGGATGAAATCCATGATCAGAGTGCGCGCGTCTTTCTCGACACGTTTTGGCAGATTTACCACTTTTTTCAATGAATACCTCTTGGAGTTGATGTCATCTAAAAGCATCTCAAATGGTGTCAATTCGTACTCTTTTTGTTGCCGATGAAGGGATTCCTGTCTATTGATGTGATTCAAAGAGACGCCAACTCTTAACTGACGCATTACTTTCATCCACAGGTGGGCCCACACCTCGACGTGAATCTTATCGACCTCTTCGTTGTCGATGCGATTGATTTTCTTCAGTTCTTTCGTTCCGATCGATATTTGGCTCAAAAATGTCGACATTTCGATGGCTTCGGCGACCAAAGCTCTGCAGACATGTCTGTAATGCTCTTCTATGTCGGTGTCATCTATCATACGATCGCGACATTTGTTGAGCAGATCATCCAAAAAGTGTTGCCAATCAAAGTCCACTTCAATCTCATCCATACTGTCATCATCTCCGGTGTCGTAATTAATCATTTGCTCGAATGTCTTCTCCAGCGAAGATGATATGACAATCTCCTCGTCCTCTTCGGTGCCATAATCTAAAGCCTTATAAATAGTGGTTCCGAGTGAAGACACGACACTCTGTATGGACGCCGAGTGTACCGTCGATGATGTCTTAAGCCATGACTTGTGGTGAATTGTTCCGTTGTTTTTGATATACAGATGGTTTGATTTAATGAATAAGTGGTCATTATTACTGTTCAGATCCTCCTTAAGACACGCGACTGACTGGTGGATGAGAGCCCACGACTGCTCCTCTTTGATGCCACAATGAAATGCGCAAAGAATTGAGTCCAACGTAAGACAATTGTCTTCATCTACGGCACAAACTTCAGGCATTTTTCTGTTAAAATAAATATTTATTAAATTAAAGACACGAATAGTTTATATAAAAATTTTCAAAACAGATATTCTGGTAAACATGTGATGAATAAAGTGGTCATAAGTTTTGCTTTCAATCGCTAATCGGATTAAGGGTTAGAAATCCTTTGGCCTTATATTTGAATAGAGTTTTTGTGTAGAGAACTGAAATAAAAGTGAATTTTATTCCTAATCCATAGTAAGTCCAAAACTTTTAGTAAGATTTTGAGCGCTTTTTATATTCAAATTGTATTTAACGTTAGATTTTCAGTTAAACGTCAGGAATAATAACTCATATTTCACTCAAATATTTCACTGATAAGTTATCACTGATCAGATTTGGATACATCGTTAGCTCAGAAGTACATTTTAATCCGTATAAAAGCGACTGACTGGTGGATGAGAGCCCACGACTGCTCCTCTTTGATGCCACAATGAAATGCGCAAAGAATTGAGTCCAACGTAAGACAATTGTCTTCATCTACGGCACAAACTTCAGGCATTTTTCTGTGAAAATAAATATTTATTAAATTAAAGACACGAATAGTTTATATAAAAATTTTCAAAACAGATATTCTGGTAAACATGTGATGAATAAAGTGGTCATAAGTTTGCTTTCAATCAGTAATCGGATTAAGGGTTAGAAATCCTTTGGCCTTATATTTGAATAGAGTTTTTGTGTAGAGAACTGAAATAAAAGTGAATTTTATTCCTAATCCATAGAAAGTCCAAAACTTTTAGTAAGATTTTAAGCGCTTTTTATATTCAAATTGTATTTGACGTTAGATTTTCAGTTAAACGTCAGGAATAATAACTCATATTTCACTCAAATATTTCACTGATAAGTTATCACTGATCAGATTTGGATACATCGTTAGCTCAGAAGTACATTTTAATCCGTATAAAAATAATATGCATAAAATAACGCTTATAATAAACTATTAATACATATTAAAGTTATATTTTATTATAAGAAAATACATTATTATTATAAA